TTTCGCTAGTAGGTTTCTTTCTTCTAGGTCTAGGTAATGCACAAGTTGATTACAAACAGCGTTTTCCATGGTTTTCGTCAATATAAGTAGGAGACATATTGGCCTATATTTATTAATTGCTTCCTTTTCACCAGATTTAAATATTGGCACAATTCTAAAAACTTTTAATTGCTATGAGACTAGCCCTTGTGCAAAAGACTTATTGACTAAAACTGCATTGGATTCACTCAATTTTTATTTCATATCTTCAATAAACTTCTGCTCATTTTCAAGAGATCAATTGGGAAAATATTTTACAGCTGTTCAAATTTCTGATTACTTTGCATATATCAACTTCATTAATGAACTTAATGGTTTTTTGTTTACTATAGCAAATTTTGTCTTCACAATTACATTTCCGCGCTAAAATTTCATTAATTTTTGCAAAATAACTAAGAGCAAGTTTCACTCTGTCCGTTCGTCCGTACGTCCGTTCGTGAACATCCTTACAAAGTTTCTACACCTTTGAAGATAGAAAGTGGAAATTATGTACATAGATAATTATATCATATGCACATAGATCTTTACTAGAAACTTAATTACGTAGAAGAAAATTTTTACCTATCTAAAAGTTACAGCCCCTTAAAAACCCAAAAATACCTTTTTTTGACTATTCATTGTAGGAAAACCATGAGCATTTTTCAAATTTTGCAAACGCAGAAAAGTAGTAGCTGACTACTTCTACGACGGTAAACTATATTTAAACTTTAAAGAAACAAAATGACATTTAAAATTATATCGTTATCTAAAATCCGATTTTACCACATTTCGTTTTTCTTCTAGATTGCAGGTTGTATTGCTAGATTGTTGTTGAGCCTGGAATTTAAGAAGCTTTTAGATATTAGTAAATAGTTTATTTCATTAGAAGAGATTTTATCCACCTCTATCCCTTCTCAAGTTATCGTCTGTTGAAATTTGTGAAATTTTAATTTCTGGCATCTTTTATTTTCGAAATTGCAAGCTTTTTCAAATTTCTAAAAAAGGTAACGGTAAATAGCATGCAATCAAAAAATACAATTATTTTTCTCAACTCACAAAAGTAACCCTTAATTTCAAACGTTATATTATTAATCCCTTATTTCAATTTTTCTTTTGCCTCATCCAAAATGTACTTGTATACTGTTAGATTGTTTTTAAAATCACTATTTTCACTTGTTGAACCGAAAGAGCTGCATTACAAAAAACAATTGGTGGGCACAACTTTGCTGCTGATCATTCAAACCCTTTAATAAATTTTGTCTTTGTTATTACCATTACTTATAAGCTCTTTTATGCATTTCCAACTTTTTCTAGTGTTATTTTTACTTTGTTCGAACTTTTTTGAAAAGTAAAGCCTTTTTTTGTTGGAAGCTGGTCACTTTTTTAGTTGAAAGTCGTACAAACATTTTAAATCGACGTTTAAAGGATTTTGTTTTAGTTTGTTATACCAACTATTTTTAATTTTTAATATTTATATTATTTCTTTATCAATCCATAGACATCTGCTGACATTTCCCTTATTTTGTCTAATTTGAATTTTTTAGCCATATTTATTTTATTTTGAAATTTATTAATAAGTTCTTTATGAAGTTCTTCACAATTTTTGTTTGATTCAAACAAATTTATTCTTTTTTCTAATAATTTATATAATTTTTCTGTATCAATATAACTAGCGTTCGTCAAATTCGTATTTTGTGCATTGGCAACCATACATATTTGTGACACTTTAATTATTATGGCAAATTGATCTAATAAACCAATATTTACATAATATGATAATTACAGTTTTTCATATAAATGATTAGTAAACATATGATCACATTTACATGACAAGAGTTATATATAATAACAAAGACACTTTATAATGCTTAGACAAGGTGAATTATTTAACCACGCTACGAGTTGCTAATTAAAATCTGATTTAAAATTGACCTGGAAAATTTTATATTAAAAATTGCATATTCAGAAAATTTTATCAAACGCAACTGTTTGAAAATGTATAAAACATATATGAAATAGAATTTAATTGTGATCAAGTTATTAAACAGCGCAGTTCGTGTAACAAAAATTTAAGTGTAGTGTTAGATTTTAAATTGTGAACATAAAAGTAAGAATAAATATTCCATGTACAAAATTTTCTTTTAATAAAGAAGAAAAAGAAAACTTTAAAAAGACTGATGTTTTAAAACTGTTCACAATTTTCAAACATTTTTAAAACTTAAACTGATTTATTTGGACTCAACGTTTTAAAATTTGAATGGGTATATGTACATTATGTGCATAAATATACAATTTCATGGAAAAGTTGTAGCCTGCAGTAGTCGATCAATTTTAGTAATAATTTAAAATGAACAGGAATTCAAATTTTCAAGTTCTACATTGTTCATTACAAAGTTCTTGCAGTTCTGTGTGTGATATAGTTTTACTCTAGCACATGAATAAAATGTTTGGAATGAATTTACTAACGCTCTGCAAAAATACATTCTTATTAAAGTAAAATACTCGTCATGTGCACGTTATGTTCTATATAAGTGTAAAAACGAAACTAAAGTGGTAATCGTAAACGGCGGACTATTTCCGTTCTTAACCCAGAGCAGAAACGGACTGGGAAAATTAAATGTTCAGTATTATGCAAATAAAACCGCGTACGCATACTGCCAAACGCACGCAGATGATGACAAAAAAAACCGCCAGCGTCAAAACGGGATTTAAGGCCATTTCAACGTCAACTGTAAATTACACTTCATTCTGAAAAGCCCCATTTATATACAAACATTTCGACGCGGAAGATTGTCCTTGTGATGTTCTCAACATATATCATCCTAATATGTTAGAATAACGTACTTCGCAAGCAAACGAGTACAAAAAAAAATAAAATAATCAAAATTTTGCTCTAAATGGTATTGAATTTGTATAGCACAAGGTATAGATTTTTACCGACCGCATTGAGTATAACAATAAGGTAGGCTATGTCATGGTACCAAGGTTTGGATGTCAAGTTTTCGGTGCGAGCGCACTTTTCCATGATAGGGAAGTGGAAATTAACCATTTTTAGTGACCTGTCTATCTGCCGGTTCGTGCCTTTTATATGTAAGTTTATTTCGACTATGTTACGGATTGACCAACTTTTGGGATATATCAAGCCTAGGGAACTACGAGTAGACCTTTAAACTTGCCTGTTTTTTATTTTTGATCATTTTGAAGAAAATATTCAACAGATATACTTGAAATTTCATATATAAAGCTGATATATGAAAGCTTCAGAAGCACTCCGTATGTCGGATCCGTGGCGGGGGAACACAGGGCACCCCATCCTGAGTGGGAAGTTACTCAGACCGATTAGGCTTTCGAATAATACGTACAGAATTGAGAATATATTTTCTTTTGTTTTCTTTTTTCTGCATGTTTTTTTTCATTCTTTTTCGTTTTCTGTTTGTATGTTATTTCTTCTGCAAGTGTTGGAGATCTTACTTGGGCTAATATTAATAAAATATTAAATAAATATTTTTCAATTACTTAGTTATTGAAGTCTTATTTACTTAATTACTAAATTTTTGGATATGATCAAACAGCATACACACCAACTTCTTGGTTAGTTTTCCTAAAATTTAAGAAAATTTAAAGTCATGAAATACTTTTAATTTGAGCTACAAATTTAAAGAGATTGTTTATGAAAGTCATGAGAAATGCTCGTTTTCTTTATAAATCACATTTTTTTGTGATATAGATTTACATTTAACTCATTATAATGTAATGTACATTAATCAAAATTTTCTCCAATAGATATGTAAAAAAAAAAAAACAAAATAACTAAAAAAAATTTTTTTTTGTTTTTCTATTTCGATTTCTTAAACAAATTGTTTTAGTAAAAATAATATTTTTTTTTAAGATTGTTTCCAATATTTAATATTTTAGAAAAAAGGTTCCGGAGTTTCAAATTTGTATTTTTAATTTATAGAGCAATATTGTTAACATTATGTAGGTATACGAGAGTATTTTGTATACGTACACAAAGAAAACCAATAACAAAAAAAGAAATCCTAAAATCATGTTACTCGTTATTTTAGAAGAGCCAGGAAGTCGCCAATATAAGCATATATCTATTTTGTTTAGATAATAAAACTAAATTTAATTTTTACCATATGTTTATGATTATTCTTTTTTATGTGCAATTGTATATATATACTGGGTGTCTCATATCAAAAGGAACTGCTATGGAAGACATATTTACAGCTTAACAAGTTCGTAGTTACAGGGACTGAAAGACAATTTCGACTAATTTTTTTAGTTTATGAAATTTTAAGTATAACTCCGTGCCTGCATAAGACACATGCATTATTGAATATTAAAATCTTTTCAAATTTTAGACCTATATGGCTTTAAATTTTGATAATTTTTAATTTTAATTTTTCATTTTAATAATGTTAATTTTCTAGATGACGTAACACGGGAGCTTTTTCAATTATAGCACCGCTGGCAATCTTGCTTACTGTTTTTTAATTTGGTATATTGGTCATCTTCTTACCTATTCTGGTTAATTCTATTTTGAATATGCCATTTTGTTGAACTACCTGGCTCTCTTCTCTTTTTAGCACTTTTCCAAAAAAATTTCCGTCCATCTGTCCGTGTGTTTGTTTACAAAACTTCTACACCCTTGAAGATAGAAAGCTGAAATTTTGTATGTACATAGATGTCCATAGAACAAAATTTTCACCTACCTCCCAACCTCTAGATCAGTGGTCGGCAAACTTTTTTGGTCGTGGGTAAAATTGGTCAAAAATCAGATTTTTTTAAGCTCATAGCGGGTCAGCGGCAATTTTATAAAAAAGCAATTAAAAAGAATAGTTAAACGAAAAATTAATTCATTTATTACTCGTATATATTAAAATAAATAGAAACATAACAGAAATAAATTCAATACACATATAATAAAAATAAATCAAAAAATAACAAAACCAATATTTAATATTATAAGTTCAAAATCAGTGACTTCCATGATGCTGTGCTGTTGCAGTTAATTTGGACAAGTTTGGTTCATATGTTGATACCTTAAGTCGGACACATTCATCAGAATGCTCCGTAGTCAAACTACTCCTGTTTTTATTTAATATATACTTCATTTGTGAAAATGTTTGTTCACAATTATAACTTGATCCAAATGCAGATAAAAGAGCAAATGCAACTTTTTTTAGGCATGTAAACTTTGTTGGAAGAGATGCCCAGCATGTGGATATTATATCAAGATGATTGTCTTCAGTTTTTTCTAAATCGCGACGTAAAGTTTCAAATTTATCAGTCCATAAAGTGAAACTTTTCAAATCAATCAGTTCTAAGCTGAAATTGGTGATTTCGAGGAACTCAAAATATTGTAATTCTAAAATAGTTTCATCAACTACATCCGGCTTCGTTATAAACGTAAACATTGGGCCGTGCGTTTTCAAAGTTTGAAATCTATTTTCAAATTCGTCTTTCATGCTATTAATATAAGACTCAAATGTCTTTACGTCGGAATCATCAATAGTGCCTTTTTCTTCTTGACTTTTAAGATGTAAGAAATAGTTAAACTTACGAGTTTTTACATCTGTTTCAAATAAAACTATTTTTGAGCAAAAACTCTTCCATTCTTCAAATAATTTTAAAATTGTATGACCGTTACCTTGAAGTCGTTTGTTGAATTCATTATAATGGTTCATTATATCCGTTAAGAACAAAAGTTTTAAGAACCATTTCTTATCATTAAGTTCGGGATAATTTTCTCCGATTTCAACCAGAAATATTTGTATTGCATCAAAGCAATCTATAAATCTATTAAGTACCTTCCCTCTGCTTAACCAACGAACTTCAGAGTGCAACAGCAAACTTCCATACTCCGCTTCAATTTCCTGTAAAAAAGATTTGAAGCGTCTGTGTGTTAAAGCAGAACGTGCTGTAATTATGTTAACAATTTTAACAACCGTCTTCATTACATTATTAAGTTCTTTCATTGACGCCTTTGCACATAAATTCTCCTCGTGTATAATGCAATGAAAAGATAAGAGAGGACGACCAAGTTGATTTTCTAACAATTTCACAAATCCAATATTTTTCCCCCTCATAGACGGAGCACCGTCAGTTGTTATGGAAAACAGTTTCTTTTTTAAATCCAAAAATTTCTCATTTCCAAACTGGGTGAACTCCTCAACTTTAATGAGAATATCAGAGCCTTTCGTTGTTCCATCCATTGAAGTAAGAACGCACAATTCCTCCTGGACTTTTGTACAATTAATTGATGCAAATCGAGCAATAATTGCAAGTCTTGCCATATTATTTATGTCATTGCTCTCATCCAAGGAAATACTAATAACGTTGCTCGATAATAAATCGGTTTTGATCTGAATATCAATGTCTTCAGCCATATGTTTTATACGTCGCTGAACAGTTCTTGCTGATAATGGAATTTCTTTAATTCTGGCCAAGATTTCTCTTTTATTTTTAAAATCATTAAAAAGATGTTCGGAGCATTCAATAAATGCGGTCTTTAAATATTCACCGTCTGAAAATGGTTTTCCGTTGCGTGCAATCGCAAGGGCTGCTGCATAGCTAGCAGTTGTTGAATAGTGATGTTGCGTTACAAACTTCTGTAAAACCCCTTTTTGAGTATTAAAATTCAATACGTGTTTCTTGATGTGTTCTAATTTTTCATCTTTTGGCATGTCACTTACAGCTTCATGTTTGGAAAAAATATGCCTCTCAATATTGTAAGTTCGACCGGTAATTGTATCTCCACATAGGCAACACACCACACGGTCACCAGTTTCGATACAGCCATATTTCTCTTGCCATATTTGTTGAAATAATCTAATCTTCTTTGCCTTCGGTTCGGTCATGGTTAAAATCACAAAAAACTAATATATCCACCACTAAATTTTGTTTACTGAGAATTAACTTGCAATAAAAATTTTAATATTTGTTAAAGATTTTTGCTATTATGCATTTGTTTTATATACTTACTCAAGGCAGACAAATAAAAAAAATTATTTGTTTTTGAATCACACAAATTTTCAAACTAAAGAAATGTGAAAAAAGCAATTGAAACTTAGGACTCAATGTATTTTAATTTTCTTCTTTTTTTGTTTTGAGCATAGCAACATAAAAGTTATCACGGCTACTACGAATTTAAAAATTCAAAAATCATAGTTTGTCAATAAATGGTTTGGAAAATAAAAAATTCTTTAATTTCGTTCAATTTTTTGTTATTTTTCTTACATAGATTTGGAAAGTTACTTTAAAAACTCGAAGCGGGTAACATAAAATCATGATTCGGGTCACTCCGTGACCCGCGGGTCATAGTTTGCCGGGTGCTGCTCTAGATGTTATACCCCCCCAAAACCCTAAAAATGCCATTTTTTAACTATTTGTTGCAATGAAACCATAAGCATTTTTGAAATTTTGCAAACGCAGAAAGGCAGCGGCTTGCTTCCCCTAGCGCGGTATACTATAGCTTAACTTTATAAAAACAAAATGGCCGTTCAAATTCACCGTTATCTAAAGTCCTTTTTTCCAAATTTTTCAGGTCGTTTTTCTTCTAGATCTCAGCCTGTCAAATTTTAATGACTTTTAGACTTAATAAATAGTTCATTTCGTTAGAAGAAAATTTTTTTCCATCTCCACCCCCTCTCCAGTTATCGCCTCTTGAAATTTGTAAAATTTGAAGGGAAAAGTGCTACAATACAAACCATTGGTTTGACCCAACTTTATTGAATTTTTTATCAAATTGCTATTAACGTGATTTTACTGTAACGTGATTAATACTCGTAGTAACGTGACTTCTTTTTACTGCATAAAGAAGTCGTGCATTTTGTTACTAGACACCCCGTATGTACGTATGTATATGTACTTAGAAAATTTACTGTATGGATTATAATAATTTAAGGGATAAAAAAATATTTCATGAGATTGTTGTAGACATATGTTTATGTGTATATTATACATATGTACATGTTCACTTGTAAATAGTTACGAATATATATTGTGTAGGATATAACAATGACATTTCCCTTATCTATGAGGTTTTCAATTTATATTTATCAATGATAAAGAATAAAAAAGGTACACACACATGTACAAAATATACATAAACTTATCGGCAAAATGGATGAACTGAGTCAGCTAAATTTGTCATAATAAAATATGCCGCATATTTTACAGAATTCAGTTCAATGGCAGTTCAATGAAGAAGACAAAATAGGTGTGGTCATGCACGAAGCAGATGAGGAAGGGTTGGCTAAAAAAATCAATTGGATTGTTATAATAAAAACAAATACTCAAATAAGAGAAAAGCCAAAAATTCATCAGAAATTAACCGGCACTAAAAACTAATAGCAAAAATGTAGAAAAATCTCCACGAAGGAAATTTGTTCAACTTAAAAACATAAACTTCCACCGGTAATAGTACAACTAATAACACGATGTTAATAAAGATCCTCAAAGCTGAAAGTATTGATGTGAAGCCAAATATGAGGAAGTATGATCGACTAAAAATAAATGTTGAAAATTAAAATTAACATATAGACAATTAACTAAAGCTGTTAATGAAGCCAAATTAAAATGGCATACTTATGAAAATAAATTAACGAAGCCATTTAAAGTAATGGTCAGTAACCTACATCCATCAGGAGTTTTAATTAAAGGAAATTAAAAAAACAAAATAAAATGACGTGAATACTATTAAAAACCCTTTTGATTTTGAATACTATTGACCCCTCTTCATGTTGTCCTTCGATTATACCGAAGACATAAATTATCTCCCACCCTCTAGAAGTTATACTCCCCCAAAACCCTAAAAATGCCATTTTTTAACTATTTGTTGCAATGAAACCACAACTATTTTTGAAATTTTGCAAACGCAGAAAGGCAGCAGCTTGCTTCCTCTAGCGCGGGATACTATACTTAAACTTTAGAAAAACAAAATGGTCATTCAAATTTACCGTTATCTAAAGTCTTTTTTTTCCAAATTTTCGATTTCGTTTTTCTTCTAGACCCCAGCCTATAGAAGCTTGAAATTTTAAGGGCTTTTAGACACTAATAAATAGTTTATTTTGTTAGAAGAAAAGTTTTTTCCATCTCCCCCCACCCTCTCAGGTTATTGTCCCTTGAAATTTGTAAAATTTGAATTTTTGACACCTTATATTTCCGGAACCGCTAGCTTTTTCAAATTTCTATAAACGCAAAAAGCTAACGGTAGATTCCATGACATTAAAAAATATAATTATTTTTCTTAACTCACACAATTAACCCTTAAAATCGAGCGTTATGTTAACCCCTCTTCAAATTAATTTCTGCTTTATTTCAAAGACTGCATAAATCGTTCAACCTAAATTTATACAATCCTAGAAATAGTTTCATATATGAATGAAAATAATTTTAATAGTTTAGTAGGTATACATAGACTGTATTTAAAAGCAGTATTTTCATTTGTTGAAGGGAAAAGTGCTACAATACAAATCATTGGTTTGACCCAACTTTATTTAAGAAAACTTTAAAAAAACGTTAAAATTTTTTTTTTATATTGATTATATGTTAATGCCTTACAAAGAGCTATAAAACAATTTAAGTGGGTTAAATATTTAATTCATATCATATAATGATGTGTATATTTTATTACCAAAATTGTTTTTTTGCACATGTGATTCAAAATCAATTTTTTTGAGAATCTTACTTTTCTTTTTAGCACTTTTCCAAAAAATTTTTGAAAAAAAGGGCTTATTAGTTTCACGCTGTCCGTCCGTCTGTCCATCCGTCGGTCCGTCCACCCGTGGACATGTTTACAAAACTTCTACACCCTTGAAGATAGTGAGCTGAAATTTTATATATGCATAGATCACGAGCGTTAACCCCTCTTCAAATTAATTTTTACCTTATTTCAAAGACTGCATAAATCGTTCATCCGAAATGTATGCAATCCTAGAAATAGTTTCATATATGAATGAAAATAATTTTAATAGTTTAGTATGTATATCTAGACTGTATTTAAAAGCAGTACTTTCACAAGTTGTTGAAGGGAAAATACTACAACACAAACCATTGGTTTGACCCAAATTTATTATAAAAACGTTACGAATTTTTACCGCTAATTTTTCTGCTTTCTGTGAATGTTTTGAGTGATTTTTTTCAATTTCCTCAAATATCGAAAAATTCGGAAACTTTTGTAATAATATAATGTTTTTGGACAAAGTCCTTATTAGCAATATAATTTTTTAAAAAGAATTTTTACTTTCCACGCAGGAATATAATGACAATTTTTTTCAGTATATTAAAAGATAATTGTTTTTGTGAACTTGTTTTCAAGCATTACTTACTAAAATTGTCATAAATATTTATTTATCAAAATCATGCTTAATTATAAAAACATATATCCGAGCACTAAATTTCGGTTTATAATCAACATACTTCGTTCTGCTAATTTCTTACAAAATTTACTGTTTTATAAAAACATTTTCTTTTATTGTAAGGACGCATACTTAACATAATTTGTAAGCTATTAAAGCGATCTCCAACAACTTACTTTATAATTCACTTCAAATATTTCTATATTCATTTTATACCATCAAGTTTCAAAGTATTATTTAATTATAAAAAAACATATGTTTTGAATTCAAATTCAAATTTTACACGAAACGAATCCATTATGTATGTATGAAGAAGAAACTTAACATCTTCTCTATTTGCTCACAGTATAGCAACTTCAACAGCAAGATAAGTAATACTTTGTTCAATTGAAATGCTATATATTACAAGAGGAAAAGAAATTGTATACTTAATACAAAAGCAGTCAACTTCAGCTATATTTTTTCCTTTCTTGCGCAATGGTTCAAAAAATCAAAAAAAAAGCACATGTATGTACAAAAATGAATTTTCATTTCAGTAAAATGAAAAGGTGCCGTAGAGGCAACAAAACAGAATAAATTGAAAATAGAGCAATAAAAAATTTTAAAAAGAAAATAATAAAAAATTAAAGAAATGAGACATTTTTCCACAAATTGTTTGCAATTTTCAAATAAAAAAAAATTGGCCCAAATAAATGGTTTGTAATGAAACACTTTTAGTTTCAACATACATATGTGAGAATAAAAGATTGCAAAAAAATTTAAAGATTCGCCACATTTAGGATGAGCAATGTATGCCATTTTTTATAGAAAACAAAAAAAACTTAACGAGGTGTTAACATAATGCTCGAATTTAAAGGTTAGTTGCGTGAATTAAGAAACATTATTATGTTTTTTGATGGCATGGCATGTGCCGTTAGCTTTCTACATTTACAGAAATTTCAGTTTCGGAAATATAAAGCGCCGAAAATTCAAATTTTACAAATTTCGATAACTTGAGTGGAAGTGGAGGTGAAAAAAAAATTTTCATCTAATGAAATGAACTATCAATATCTAAAAGTTGCTAAAATTTCAGACTTTTACAAACTTTTACGGTCTAAAACAAAAACGATATCAAAAAATTTGAAAAAGCGAATTTTAGATCATTTTAATGGCCATTTTATTATTAAAAGCTAAATAGGGAGCACCACGATAGAAAAAGTCAGCAACTACTTTTCTACGCTTGTAGAATTTAAAAAACGTTTCTGGTTTTGCTAATATAATTACTTGAAAGGCATTTTTAGAACTTTGGAGGGCTAAAACTTTTGGAGGGGAGAAGATAAGTAAAAATTTTCTTCTTTGGAAATAATTTTCTAATAAAGATCTATGTACATATAAAATTGCAGCTTTTGTTTTCAATGGTGGACGCATGTCCACGAACAGACGGACGGACAGAGTGAAACTGATAAGCATTTGCAAATTTTTTTTGCAAAAGGTTTTAAAAGTAGAAAGAAATTTTTTTT